CTGCCCCTGCCCCCACAGCTGCCCCTGCCCCCACAGCTGCCCCTGCCCCCACAGCTGCCCCTGCCCGTGGTCCTGCACCTGTGTCTGCTCCTGGCCCTCTCCTTGTCCTTGCCCCTGTCCCTGCCCCTGCCTCTGCCTCTTCCGTGCTGGTGGAGGGCCGATCACCTCCTTGCAGGCACGGCACTGGCAAACTACACGTGTATGTGTGTCTGTTTGTATAAATATGCGGACGATCAGTCCTAAGAGCTTCTGGGTGCTATATGGTTGTCGTGCTTTATAGCTTGGATCTCGTCTGGGAATGGAAGTTAGCTGAAAGTGAGGCCATACCTTTGCAGTGGTAATACACCCGTGAAATTAAAATGTGCCCTAGTGGTAGCTCTAATTTCTCACCCATGCGTTGGTTATTTAGCTCTTCCTCCAAACAGGAGGAACTGAGCGGTTCTTTGGAGTCGTAGGTATAAAGTCTGCTAGCAAGTTTGTGCAAGGAAAAGGTTAGGTTAAATGGAGGGGAGGGCGGAAGCTGCTTGCCGCGTGACGATTATTTAACAAAGGGATTACTGCTGTGGTGTAAATGGATAATACTTGTATGTTGGTCATAACAAGTCTCCTTGTGGGATATAAGAACAAAAATAGTGGTTCACTCAATCATTTCTTTGTAGGAATCATATGTTTTTCTGTGTATAATGCTAAGGTCTATGAAATCAGTCCCTGTTACATGGAATGATAAAAGTAAAAAATATAAAATGAGAGAACTCCCAAGAATAGATGTTAATCTGGCACCCTGTTGAGATTATCAGTCATAAAGCCAAAGTCCAATGAGTCTCTTCTGAAATAGGGTCCTGCAGACTTGGACTGATGCACATGTGTAAGACTGGACTAAGGAATACCATGTGAATGCCCTTTTTCTTTCCTAAATCTGCATTTCTTGGTGTGTTTCAGGCTAAGAAACACGACATTTTCCTCAGTTTTTGCATTTTGGATCAACATAAAGAGACAGAATTAATGCCCTCCTCCTGTTTTCCTTCTCTTGTCTCATGAGATTTGCTTTGAAAAGGTAATTTTCATTTGTTGGGTGCCTTGGGCTAGAAACTGATGTCTCAAGCCTTGTACAAGCTGTAATTAATTCCATAATCTTATTTTTCTTTACAACTGATAGGTTATTCTTGTTTCACATGTATCTTGACATAATAAGATGCAGTATTTGGCCCATTCCTGGAACTGAATTTAACATTTCTTTAAGATTTTATGATCTGGAGCTTTGATAGAAGTGGTGAGGAAAGGTCATCTCTCAGATGGATAGTTCACATGACAACAGTGTATATGATAGTAATTGAATTTATTTTGATTCACACATGATTGTTCTGTGATACCTCAATTCTAATATGGCTATCATCTATTCAAGATTTTTGTCTCTACGGCAGATATGTGATGCAAATGAAGATCCATATAAATGATAGAGTGGTTCTGCTGCCGGCACTCCCGCTGGCCCCCGCGCCGCCCGGATGCATGTGCGTTCTCGGCACAGGACCCTGCGCGAGCCGTGAGCCTTTTTTGCACGCTTTGCGGGGGTCCGGCGCCGCGCGTAACCCAGGTACAGCTACAGCAGGAGAAAGGTGAGAGAGAGAGGGGAGCCTTTCCGGCAGGTACTGCACCCCCATGGAAGAGGAGGAGGCAGCTTCAGAGCACACAGAGGTTGGCCGATCCAGGTCTGGGGGGAGGGGGCAGGGAATTGGAAAGGGAGCAGAGGGGAAGTGCTTTCGGCGGATCATGGTTGTTCTCCGACTTGCGGGTGGGAGTGCAGGGCTGTCCCATGTGAAACATCGCAGGTGTGCAACGCGCCTGCCACTTGTGGTGTCACAGTGGGAGAAGAATAATCGTCAGGGTGGAAAGTGGGTTCTTTTAGATTGATGGGGACCCCAGCCAGGCTGGGGTCTTGAAAGGCACCCTAGCCTTGACAGGTATGGGGGCCTGAACGGTTGGTCAGCTGATTTATTTGTTTGTCTATTTACCTATTTACTTTTGGCTCACCTGCGGCTACTGCCCAGGTTCGGCATGTTCTGGATATATTTTCTCTGCTCTGCTACATCCTGAAAGGGTGGGCAGGACTAAGGGCTGCTCCTGGTTGTCCCCTTATGATGGTATTTAGGTAGGTGTTAGTAAAGTAGGAATTGAAGGACTTACCCAAATCGTTCTAACAGGTAAGTAGCCTATGTACCCCCCCCCCCATGTGGTTGCGAGCTATGCTGGCGAGGGTTCATGCCCTCGGTAGGGTCGCCCATGCCAGACAGGTCAAAACCATAGGACCAGATTCACTTCATTCTTGGGCAGGATGAGCTCATTAGCCTTCTGGCAGTCATCCTAGGAGAAGGACAACTCTCATACCAAACCCGGGCAGATGGAGCTCGCTTAGCCCTGGAAGGCCATCCATCTAAGAGAAGGTCACTCTAATCAAACCTACGTCCTGAGGACCTCGCTGCCACCGTCCAAGCTTGCTCGGCCCTGGCAGATGAACCTCAGGATTAAAGGGTGGGTTCAGTTCCGCGCATACTGCATCTCACCTAAAAAATCCATTGCGCAGGCTTGAAGGCTTTACCCACATGCAAAAAGTCCTGCAGCGACGGGCGAGGGTCGAAACGGTAGGTGAAAGGTGCACTGGGAGCCGCAGACTCAACCCTGCATGCAGGCGGTTCAGGATATTGGTCATTTGAGACTGACGGAGATGAGAGTCTCTTAGGGCAGCACCCTGAACGACCAAGCAGCCTTTTCAAGGACAGCACTGCTTGCTCCACTCGGAGAGGGGCCTAGAAAAGGTGGCCTAAACAAAGCTCATCTCCACCTTCACCCGGTTGGTTAACCGCAGACCGACGGGCATCTTCTTCCAATGCGGTCGCACAAAGAGCAAAAGACAAAGGCACGCACCTGCCTCCAAAGGTGTACCTAAATTAACTCTAGCATGTTGGAACATCAGAACCATGCTCGATTCTGCGGACAGCGGACGTCCTGTGCGTCGCTCTGCCCTAATTGCCCATGAGCTGGCCCGTCTCAACATCGACATAGCTGCTCTCAGTGAAGTTCGCCTTCATGAGGAAGGCAGCCTCAGAGAACACGGTGCCGGTTACACTCTCTTTTGGTCAGGTAAGTCCAGAACCGAAAAACATCTCTCTGGTGTCGGCTTCATGATCAAAAACTCTATTGTCCCTAAACTCGAAAATCTGCCGACAGGTCACTCTGATCGCATTATCTCCCTACGCCTTCCACTAAATAACAACCAACACGTTGTCATCTTCAGCATATATGCCCCAACTCTCCAAGCTGACCCTGCTGAAAAAGATAAATTTTACTCTGACCTGCGCTGCCTTACCCAAAAGGTACCAGCAGATGATAAGATCATTATCCTTGGTGATTTCAACGCCAGAGTAGGCAAAAATTTTGAAGCATGGAAAGGCATATTAGGCAATCATGGCGTTGGAAACTGCAACGATAATGGTCGACTTCTGCTAGAATTCTGCGCGGAGCAACAGTTTACCATTACCAACACTATCTTTCAGCAGAAAGATAGCCTAAAGACAACCTGGATGCACCCCAGATCTAAGCATTGGCACCTCATTGATTATGTCTTGGTGCGACGGAGAGACGTCCGCGATGTCCTCCATACCCGTGTGATGCCCAGCGCAGAATGTCAAACAGACCATCGGCTTGTGCGCTGTAAACTCAATTTCAATCTCAAATTCAAACCCAAAAAGGGCAGTATCCCAAGGAGAAGACTCCAAGTTAACGATCTCCAATCAGCCACAGTAAGAGAAAGATTCCAGGCAAACCTTCAAACTAAGCTTGATAACCATTCCACAGATCCTGCAGATTCCTCTCCTGAAGCAATTTGGCACCATATTAAAAGCTGCATCCTGCAATCCTCCGAAGAATCCTTAGGGTTCTCCCTCAAGAAGAACAAAGACTGGTTTGATGATAACAATCATGAAATCTAGGAATTGTTGAGGAAGAAGAGAACCGCCCACCAAGCACACCTTGCACTGCCATCCTGTCCCGCAAGAAAAGTAGCCTTTCGTCTTGCATGCAGCAAACTCCAACAGAAACTCCGTGACATCCAGAACAAGTGGTGGACCGATCTAGCTGCAAAAGCTCAACTTTGTGCAGATACAGGGGACCACAAAGGATTCTATGAGGCCCTCAAAACAGCATACGGGCCTACATACCAAATCCATAGCCCACTACTCAGTGCAGATGGTCAAACGCTTCTGACAGATAAAACCTCCATCCTGAATAGATGGTCTGAACACTTTCAGACTCTTTTTAGTACCAACCGTGTAGTCCAAGACTCAGCAATTCAGTCCATCACACAACGACCGGTGAAATACGAATTGGATACTGCCCCCACTTTAGGAGAAACCCTCAAGGCCATACAGCAGGTGAAAATTGGCAAGGTGGCTGGGGTTGATGGAATTCCACCTGAAGTCTGGAAACATGGGGGCCTTGCACTCCATGCTAAATTTCATGAGCTTGTGGTGCGCTGCTGGGAACTAGGTGAACTACCTTCAGACCTTCGTGATGCAGTCATCATCACCTTGTATAAGAAGAAAGGTACTAAATCAGACTGCTCAAATTACCGTGGTATTACTCTGCTCTCCATTGCTGGCAAAATCTTGGCAAGAATACTCCTGAACAGACTAATTCCCGCTATAGCAGAAGAAATTCTACCTGAATCTCAGTGTGGCTTCAGAGCCAACAGGAGCACCACAGACATGATATTTGTTCTCAGACAACTGCAAGAGAAGTGTAGGGAACAGAACAAAGGTCTCTTTGTAACCTTTGTCGACCTCACCAAGGCTTTCGATACTGTGAGCAGAAAAGGTCTTTGGCAGATTTTGGAACGTTTAGGTTGTCCCCCCAAGTTCCTTAAAATGATCACCTCACTTCATGAAGATCAGCATGGCCAAGTCAGATATGGCAACACACTTTCTGAGCCCTTTCTAATAAAGAACGGCGTGAAACAAGGCTGCGTTCTCGCTCCTACCTTATTCACAATCTTTTTCAGTATGATGCTCCAAAGGGCCACGGCAGACCTCGATGATCAGGACGGTATCTACATTCGATATCGTACTGATGGAAGCCTATTCAACCTAAGGCGACTGAAGGCCCACACTAAGACCCTGAACCATCTTGTCCGGGAGCTGCTTTATGCTGATGACGCCGCCCTTGTCGCTCACACAGAAGCAGCCCTGCAGCGTTTAACATCCTGCTTTGCAGATGCTGCTGAGCTCTTTGGGCTGGAAGTCAGCTTAAAGAAGACAGAAGTTCTCCATCAACCTGCACCTCAGGAAGTCCTCCATCATCCCCACATCACCATCGGCCAATCAGAACTCAAATCAGTCCAACAGTTTAATTACTTAGGCAGCCTCATCTCCTCAGATGGTAAGATTGACGGGGAGATAGACAATAGGTTAGCGAAGGCATATAGTGCTTTTGGAAAACTCCATAAAAGAGTATGGCGTAATAAACACTTGAAGAAAGGTACCAAGATCAGTGTCTACAGAGCCATAGTGCTGTCTACTCTTTTATATGGTTCCGAAACATGGGTCATCTACCGCCACCACCTGCGTCTCCTAGAACGCTTCCATCAACGCTGCCTCCGTACAATCCTTAACATCCACTGGTCAGATTATGTGACCAATACATCTGTTCTTGAACAGGCAGCAATCACAAGTATTGAAGCCATGCTACTGAGAACGCAACTGCGCTGGGCAGGGCACGTCTCCAGGATGAAGGACCACCGCCTCCCTAAGATCCTGCTTTATGGTGAACTTGCCTCCGGCTGCCGCAAGAGAGGAGCTCCGAAGAAAAGATACAAGGACTCCCTGAAGCAACAACTCAGCCTTGGGCATATTGATCACCATAACTGGTCTACTCTGGCCTCTAACCGGGAGGCCTGGAGACAGTCCATTTATAACGCCGCTGATGCTTTTGAGAAAGCACGCAGGATCACTCTTGAGGAGAAAAGACAACGCAGAAAGAATCGAGCCTTGCAGAATATACCATCTAAGGAGTCTTTCTGCTGTGTCTTTTGCAACCGGACTTGCCTTTCCCGTATTGGCCTTTTTAGCCACCAACGCGCTTGCAAGAAAAGTGGGTAGTGCCCTTCCCAAATCTTCGTTCGCGAAGCCTAGCCATGATGATGATGATGATGATGGTTCTGCTGCCATTTTACATGTCACTCTAATACCTAGAACTGGTGAGAACAGGAGTCTTCAGTGTTTTTCCTGCACTTTACTGTATGTTATTGTACATTATTTGTGTTTGAAGATTGGTTTTTAAAAAGTGGTGTAAGACAGAGTGGCTATGTCTACTGAGATAGCAAGCCCATGCTGAAGCCATTGCAAAACAGGAATTTAGGAAGTTGAGAGGAACAGTCTGTTTCTTAACTATTTGCTTCTGAGTCTTCTCCATTCTTTTTCAAAACACTCTCACTACCTGTATGTTTCTCTAGAATTCTTTACATCTGGCTAACAAGAGACCTTTTTTTGAGTGGCATGATTGCTTTCCCTTTCCCCCTGTGGTTATTACTGACACAAGTGAAAAACTACATGTGGAAGCTACAAAGTACAATTTTCATCAAGGCCTTTAGCCTGTCTCAAGGTGAACACAACTCTGAAGACATGACTCTTAGGTCTCTATGCAATGAACCCCCTAGCTATGTTCTGACCAGAAGCAGGAAATATAACCCACTCCTGTTGAAGAGTGGTTTCCTTCTTACACATTTACCTAGCCATAAGAGGAGCATGAAAGTAATTATAATGAAGTAGATGCTGTTAGATCTTTTGTCTTACCTCACAGTAGCATCCTTTTGTGCCTGTGAGCTTCACTGGTAGGTGAAGCAACATATTTTCTTGGAGAAAACATGACTTTGCACAGCCCTCACAAAAAAGACTATTGCTAAAATATTGTCTGAAAACACTGCTATCATTTGAAGAAGAATGTTGATGCATTCAGGAAAAAAAAAAGAGAGCAGCAAATATTAATAAAATAAGTGGAATACTGCCACCGGCTGCTGCAAGAGAGGAGCCCCAAAGAGAAGATACAAGGACTCCCTGAAACAACATCTCAGCCTTGGCCATATTGATCACCATAACTGGTCTGCTCTGGCTCCAATCGGGAGGTCTGGAGACACACTGTCTATAACACTGCTGATGCTTTTGAGAATGTACGCAGGATCACTCTTGAGGAGAAAAGACAACACAGAAAGATTCGTGCCTTGAAGAATATACCACCTAAGGAGTCTTTCTGCTGTGCCTTTTGCAACTGGACATGCCTCTCTTGTATTGGCCTTTTTAGCCACCAACGCGCTTGTAACAAACATGGGTAGAGCCCTCCTCAAATGTTCATTCGTGAAGTGGAATGCAGCTGAGGGCAGCTTCTTTAAATAGGTAAAATGTCCATCATGAATGCCCGAATAAAATTCAGTGGTGGGGTCAGAATTTCACTCCAAGGCATGAGAAGAGTATCTTTGAATGAGACATAACTCATTGTAACAAAATAGACAAGAGCTAAACACAGACAAGTGCATTTGAATTTGTTTCTTAAAAGACATTTCATAGCTGTGTGAGACACTGAAATGGTTTATAGCTTAAACATTGTTAAAATCACTGAGGACTTTGGTCCACTGTAGCAAGGTGTTTAAGGAAGCAACTACTTACTGAAGCCCACCATTCCCTGAATATGCCTACTAATTTGGACTGTAACAGGAACTTGACGAAAGATAAAGGTGGTACTATCGTCTAATTATCTCAGGAGAAGAATGTATCCAGAAGTGTGAGAGACTGGAATGCTGATGGCTCACACAATCAAGGTGCAAGCTGACAATGTGCAAAGTAACCACCCAGGTGCTGAGGGTGTGCTTCCTGGCCACCTCGGGCTACAGGCCCTTCGACAAGAAGGACTTCTCCTTCGACAAGATGAGGAGAGAGGCAAAACCTGCGAGGACGGGTGGTGTTTCTTTGACAATTCACGCATAGCCTGAAGATATTCATCTCTGCTGATGAACCAGAATTGACTCACCTGTGCTGATGTAACATCTTAAAAGGTGTCAAAGGCTCCTGAAATGTCCAGTGATCCAGTATTACATCAGGCATTGTAAACCTCGTGGCCAGAGGGGAGGTCGGGGGGGGAGGGAAGCGTTCCCACCTGGCCCAATAAAAGACCACACGAACTTCACTCAACACATCGTATTCCCTCACCACTTGGACTTTCCATACCATGGAGTACGTCTCTCACCACACATAGGCTTTTTCCCTCACACAAACCTCTTCCTTCACCACGTGGGACTTCGTTCACTGATACAGGATTCTTCCTTCACCACACTTCACTGATATGCTGAGACTGATACATTCTCTCACAACCCGGGCTTTCCTTGAGAAACCGGACTGCAACCATCACTTTGACAAGACCGGGATTCTAACTACCGGGAAGACCCCAAGAAGAGGATCAACGGGATGCCATTGGAATGCACAGAGTGGTGATATTTTTTCTACTTAATCTGTCTCTCTATTACTCTCTCTCCCCACCCCACCCTCACTGTCTCTTTCCTATTCCTTTATATATCTCTCTACCTCACATTTATTGTTAAATAAAAATCTGTACTATTGCCTTCAGCATATGGCCTCGTTTGCAGCTTAATTTTGTCAGAGGCATCTCTCTAATAATTTTAAAGAACCTGATCATAACAAGGTGATATCATAACTGATTTTATTTTTATAAGATATTCAGGCAAGTTTCACATAAAGGAAAAATTTCTCGTACTTTCTCATTTGTCCATAATCTCTGTGGAAAATTACCTGCCCTTTAAGGTGTTAGCATTTAGGGCTTTTCATTCTTTCTTTTGGGTTGCGTCCTATAGGATTGGCCAAGACTTCAGATATTTTCCAGATAAAAATTTCCTAATTGTCCTTGTGGTTCTACTGTTTTACAGTTTGTAGAATTTCACTTACAGTGCAATAAACAGGATATTTTTTTCATACAAAGTACAGACTGTTCTGAAGTTGATGCAGATATGGATGATATGAAATTTCATCTTTTTTTTTCAAAATATTGCATAACCCTAAAGTACACAATCATAGATATATATAATATTAGCTAAGTTTGATTTTGCTTAGTGGCAACTTGATAGAGAATAGGGGAATTATTTTGAATTGATAAAAAGTGTTCCTAGGAATGCTAGGTTGTTTAATTAGTTGGTGCTATAATGAATATGTATTCACATAATATGTGTATTCACATATGTATTCACATATAGTGTGTTTGTATCTGATTTTGTCTTTCTAAAGTACATGATCCAGTATTCATCGGTCCCCTTATATGTTGCTCTAAATTGAGCCCTTTGAATGTCAGGCTCTACTAGCTCCCGTCAAGTCAATTACATAATTTTCCATTCTTTGGACAGTCTATGTTCTGACACCTAGTGTAGCACTAGGCTAACTTGACAGTCTGCTTTTTATTTTTCCATCATCACTTTTGAAGTCTGTGACAAGTCATTTATTTAATGATTAAGCAGTCTTTTAAAAGCCAAAATCTTATCTATTTTTTGTAGGGGGATGGGGAAAGAGAAAAAAATTATTTATAATAATGGCCTGTCTACATTCTGTTTTGTTATTGCTAGTAACCTTTAGCCAGGCTACAAGAGCAGGTGTTTTGTTAATTTAAAATATTTTCATACCTTAGCTTTAATTCAGCTGCAATTCCTTTGTCCTTGATGGGTCTCAGGTTTTTGTCCTTCTGGAGAAAGCCAATCCTGAAAAATCAAGAGAAGGTCAAGCAGAAGCCACTGACTGTCCCCTTGTCCTATAAATCCATCAGTTGTCAACCACAGAGGGTAGCTTCTGCTGATATTTCTTTCATGTATGTTTCTATTCTAATATTAATAATATTAGAATAAATACTCGAGGATGCAAAGTAGGAAATGTCTTCTTTCTCTTCTATCAGTCATCTGCTCTTCTGATTCCTTTGCTCTCCATCCTCCATCTCTTTCTGTAAGGTTAGTTTTTGGTTACTGTCCCAGGCGTAAACAGTCAATCTATTCCAGTTATTCAGCCACACTGCTATAATTTATTTTTCATCTCCCAGGGAACATAATAAAGTTTAAATTAACTCAGCTTGTGTCTTCAGGAATTAGGCAAGTAAATATTTCTGTACATGCTAATTAATTTGAGACTGTAAAGGATATTAGTAGGCGTTAGTTTTATGCCATGTCCCCCAGCTTTCTCTCCCTTACAAATTTAAGGACCTCCTCAATGGTATTTCCTTGTATTCCATCATTTTGTTAGGTACACACTTGATGAAAAAAAAATCACTTTTCTGATTAGACTCATTGAATAATTTGTTATGATCAGTCATGTTTCTTTAGTTTCTTTAGCCTAATTTTCATGTTTTCTGATAGCAGTCTGGTTTGCTGGTAACATTTAACTAGAACACGTAGTTAGAGTTCATCTTGGCAGATAGTCTTCAGGTTGTGTGTTTTTGTAAGACGGGAAAAAAGCAAATAGACACTGGGTGGCAGATGAGCACTGTTGTTGAGGTCACTGATTACGGAGCATCTGTATATATTCTAAAAATGCAGGCAATTTGTTAAAATTGGTTATTGTTCTGTTATGGCAAAATAAAAATATACTTTATGTTCCCTGTGTAATAAATATTGCTTGTACATTTTGTATTTGTTTTTCAAAATGCTTTTGTTCAGATCCCTTTCTTCCCCTTTCTTCCTTGCTTTTTGCTTTTAAGGGTTACTGTCATAATAAAGGGTAATTTGTGATGTCATTCCTGGTTCAAAAACATCAGTGACACTGGAAAAGGAGGATGCAAAGACTAAATTGATAGAATCTATTATTATCTCTACATAAAAGCCAAGGCAAAACAAAAAAGGGGGGAGTATCTGAGTTAGTTCAGAGAGTACTCATCTTCTCATATGACTGCTTTCATGGAAGCTTTGTGTGTATCACACTGTCAGGTATCTAGGTGTAGTGTGTAATGCTTGTTGTCCCCTGGGTGTAGCAGATTTTTCTGCATGTGTCAGGACAGAGAAGACTGTTCAATAATAACTCTAAAAGGGATGAGACTATTTTAAATAGTGCCAAAGGATATAATAGTCTCATCATCATATTCTGGCCCTATAGAACACCTGTTCTTTATTCTGTATAGTACCTACATATCTTTCATGACTCAAAATACAGGTGCTTTCTTCATTGTTGTTTGCAAAAGTATCCAGCTTAGAGATTTTGCTTGCTTTTTGTACTGTAGAGTATGTTGTCTTCTTTCTACTTTCTAAATTAAAAACATATTCACAAAAACAAAGTGTATTCCTCAGGAGACAAACCAGTGCCTGCCTATGTCCTTGCTACATCAGAAGCTGGATCTCATATGGCAAAACTGACTATTGGCTTCTTTCCACGTGCCAGAAGTTCACAGAAGAGTTCCTGGTTATTGTAAAGCTGGGATCCATTAGAAAGGCAGACAAGAAATGTGACTAGGGGAAATGAAACCTGGAATGGGATTAAACATGTTAGTCTCATTATTAGCTTTTTCTGAAAATTTCCAACCTTGTACCATTTGTTTTATTTGGAAACCGCCAAATTGCAGGGTTTGTTTTCAATCTAATTAGAAGTGAACATGTCCTTGCCTCTGTAAAGACACAGAACTCATCCAAGTGAAGGTAGTATCAACTTTTATAACAGAATATCCATTGTGATAAGTTTAGTGTCTCATTTCAGGAAGGCAAAACCCTTGCTGAGTTTCTAAGCCAGATATTTGACAGTGTACTGTATAGCTTGCCTCCTGTGCTGGGAGTTTAAGAAAGTATCTTCTGTCTCTGGCTGTGTCACCTATATGGAGCAGAGCTGACCTCCTTTGGTCAGAACACAGTTAATGGGCTTCTGAAGAAAGAGAAGAACTAGTGTGGTGTAGGGCTCAAGATGACTTTGCTATGGTAACCCAGGATAATTCATCTCCCTTATCCAAGTATGAATCTTGTTGTCATGGTAATCTGGGGTACTTCATTCCTTCCCATCCACATATGCAGAGTCCCAAGCACATTTTATTTTGCGAAGGTAGCCCTGGATAGCTTGCTTCCCCTCTTGTCTGCACCCACCTTTGCACAGGCACCAATATAATGAACAGCTGCAGAACTCAGAATTCAGACCACAGTACCTGCATTACATCAGAGGTCACTAGTGACCAAAACAGGACTTTGCATAGATATGTAAGGCAAATCAGTTAATCAATGCAAGTTTTATTATCCACCCCTGCAGTGCTGTCCTTTGAGCTATACTTCCAAGCAGGGTTCTACTCTATCAGGTCCCCCCCATTTGATTAGTGTTGGTGTACTGAGGCTCCCACCACAGCAACGCCGTGCTTTCATTAAAGCCAACACTTTAAATTGCTGAGTGTTGTACCTTGTCCCTGAGGGATTGACATCTCCTTTTTGCTTGTAATATGTAGATACTTACACTCTCAGTTATAGGACACTGCTCTCATGCTGTATGGTTGGTTGGCCAAATTACACAGTGTTTGTTTACTACGTGCTGGCTCTCTGGAGCAAATACATTTCAAAAGTTATGGTGACTGTCTTTCAACACTATTTAATGATGACACATTTGCTGAACAAACATTGGAATATTGTAATTTCAAATAAATATTTTTTATTTCTGCAGAAGGCTGATTACAATATTTAGTTCTTTTCCCAGTGAGGTGACTCCTGGTCATAGTGAAAACAGTAAAAAATAGGCTCAACCAGGATTTAGCATGCTGTGTATAAACACATACATTATACATATTTTGTAAAATATGCATTATACTTGCATGACAATCTCTGTCACAGCTTTGGACATTCTCTACAACATAACCACGTAGTATGCCTTCAAGCTTCGCAGTTCTCTCCATCTCCAAAAATTTTCCCAGCATCAAGAGATGCTTACCAAACAAAGCTTGCTTCTCTTTTTTTTCTCTAAGCTGTGATCCAGGCACCTGGCTCCTCCCTTGATCACACCATTCCCGAGATCATCATCCCCAGTTCTCCCAGCTTCTAGGAATAAAAATAATAAATCCCATTCTTCTGCTTTTTAGAACTGCCTGCATATCTCACTTGGCTTTCTCTTTTTCAGTTATCTTATGGAATTCCATTTCCCTCACCTGGATTTCTTCCATGTGTGCCCAGACACCTGGCTTGGTTTCCAAAGTAAATGCTATCATTTTTCTGAGGCTGAGGGCAATTGGACCATCAGTTAGGAAGCCTGCAAGGCCCTGGGAGCTTCACTGGCCATCATAAGCACCGTGGATGAACTGATAAGATTGAGTGCTTGAGTCTTTACACCAGCATCAGGACAGAAAACATGAAAGCAAAAACAATAAAGTAAGATTCCAGCCCCAAACTGCACCAGTGGTGTAGCCAGGAGCAGATACTTTGGGAAAAGCATCACCTCTGTGTGGGGTGATGGACAGAGATGGAAAAGAAGAGGTGGGGAAGACAAGACTGGCTAAACTATGATGTTTCTTTGCTTTACAGATTTTCATTATACGCTATAAGGGCGAAGCAAACCACGGCTTGCAAAAGAGAAACAGCAAGTAGGGGTGGACAGATAGCACAGCCTTCAACAGCAGGTTGGGCCCTCTGTCCATGTTGGGCACTTGGGGTCAGCACCTGGGGCAGGTCTCTCTCAGTATGGTTGGACAGGGCCCTGGGGCGCTGTTGCATTGCTGCTCCCACCTTGAAGGGATTTCTTAGTGGATTTGGGAATGACCCATCCTGGGATGGGGACCTTCTCCTGACACCATGTCCAGGCTGCTCCTGGCTTTTGATAGGAGTTTTGGGATGGACCAAGGACTGCACAGCAATCCCCTACTAGATACTCTCAGCCAAACACTACCCCTTCTCTCCTAGAGAGGAAATTTCAGCTTTTCTTAATGTTTTGCAGATAGTTTTCTTCTTTTCCTCTTCTTGCTCTCCTGAGCATGTTGGCATTGGAGGTTTGAGGTGCAGGGTAGTGGGCCATGTGCATAATTGAACCAAGGGAGCTCATCCTTGAGCCCCACCAATAACAACTGGGTCTGCAGCAGACCTGACAACTATGTCCTCTGGAAAGGAAAAGAGACCCTGTAAACAGGACTGATCAGGAGATGGGGAAGAACTGCGCACAGCTTCCTTTGATAAATCCCTACATGGGAACCTATCACCAACACATAAGAATTTGTATTTTCATGAGACTTTCTGCCCAGACAAGCTGGATGGCCATTGACGCTGGAGCACTGCAGCAGCAAATCCTATTGATAATTTCTATGCTATTTTGGAAGCAGACTTTATCTAAAAGTCACTCAAATGCATAAGCTATGCATTTGGGTTGAATTAATTTCAATGAATAGGTTTCTCTGCTTGACAAGGGGGTCAAAAAATGGTGGGGAGGGAATTTAGCAATAATAACAAAACCAACCAACCAAATAAAAACCCAACCTGCCTGCCCAAAAAAAATCAAAAAGCAAGCACACAAACAAAAGCAAACCAAAAAACTACTCCAAAACAATAGCAACAAATAATCCCAAACAAAAAAACAACAAGAAAAAGCAAAAGACAAACCAAATGCTCCAAATCCCCCAAACTCGAGCAAAACCCGGTTGTCTGCATCAGTCTATGTGCTGACACTCTCAGCGGTGCCTGGAAAGATGCACACATGTAACTTCTGTCACTCAGGAAAGCTTTTTTGAGTTGAAATTTCCCATGTTTATATATGAACCATGATGTGCCACCTGTGCTCTCACCTGAGTTATCTCAGTAAATTGAGGCAAATCACTTTGATAAGCTTTTATTGATGTTGTACCTCTATCCTCTATAATCACTGTGCATGAGGCACAGGCTCTTCTGATTTCCCATTCAGGGGCTCATCTGTGCCTCCCAAGCTGGTCTTGATCCTTGTGGGAAGTGGATTTGCAAAGCCTGAAATCCCCTGCAAAGACATGATGAGAATGGGGCTGATTCCACCTCAGCGTCTCATGGGATGGGAATTTTGGGGTGGACATGTGTCAGATGGAGGCATTGTGTTTCTCCTCGCCTCCTGCTGTTATTGGGTAGAGCTGGAAGGGTTTTTTTTTGCAAACCCACTTGTGTTTGGCATCGCATCTATGAACCTCAAAGCCCTTGGCTTTCAGTGTCCCGCACCCTTCACCCATCTCCTGCAGGGAGGTGCCAAACCTGCAGAACAAAAATTACATTGCTCAAGAGGAGGAAACTTTCCCAGTTTTGCAGAAAAGAAGAGGTGTGGGGGGGGTCTTCTGCTCTTTTCCTGCACTTTCTCATCATGCTGCACCATTTCACTGGTGGGTGCCCAGATTTGAGAGGAACTGGCGTGCGCACAGTAAGATCTGTGAGGAGCATATGTGGAGCGTTAAAAGCTGAGTTGCTGCATGGGTCTGATGGGAGCTGTGGGGTTACTGTGCTCTGCCATAGTACCCCAGCTTTTGGTCTGCAGAGCTTTGGCAGGGGGAATATGAGACCATTGCACAGATTCCAACATCTTGGAGAGATGGGTCAGGGCATCAACTGGGTCTGAAATGGAGCAAAGCTGCTTTTTACAACAACAGGCTGTGGATACTCACATTTTGGGGTTGAAGGGTGTGTTATCCACCCATCTCCATTCCTTCTGATGCGACCTTAATCCAATCCACACCAGTGGTGGACTTTTGCCTGTAATAACCTTGATATGCTCCTGGAAAATAGAGGTGACCAGTTGCTTCCAAAATCTCTCTGTGGAGGGCTTTGTGGGGTGCAAAGCCATGGAGTAAATCTGACTTCCAAACTGATGAGACATGAATGTCCCCCATGCTTTGAATGCTTTTCCAAACCCTCCTGCTGCTAGGCACTTTTTGCTTCCCTGCCCACCTAAAAAAACAGGACTTTTGAGTCCTTTTCAAGCCTTCTCCCTATTTACCCTTTCTTTCTTTTCCTGGAGTACCACCAGCTGAGAGTCTTGATTTTTGCAGCTTTTTGTGCCTTGAGTCCAGTTTCCCAATTCCTCAGAAAGCCAGTAGCATCTTTCCCCATGGAGCTGCCAGTCCTGGGGACACAGCTTGCAGCCACCATAGGCTGCAAGAGAAGAAAAAGCCATGAGACACCCCACAGGGTGGTCAAGGTCTTCCCCAGCCACCAGCTGAAGGCACTAAGGGCTTCCCCACCCCACACCCTGGCTCTTTTCCCATCCTTGAGTTTTTTCACATCATTGTGGTTTTTCCTGCTCAGCCACCAGACAGAAGGATGATGACTGCAGCTGGGTGACCACAAGGACAAAAATGCCTGGTGGAGGAGAGGCAGGATGGTGAGGAACCTCCTCCCTTGGGATGACCCTGCTTCTCTGTGGAGGAGGGATCAGCAAAAATTGCATGGAAAAGATAATTCTTCCTTGCAACACTCTTCTTTGCCAAGTAACGCTTGGTGGCCTCGCAGCCCCAAGGGCATCCTTGCAGGAGAAGCCCTCCACAAAGGTCTCATCTGAGCATTCCCAGCAGAGCCAGGAGGAATGGAGGATTACCTGTGGGGCTCTCCACTTGGGGCTTGCAGAAATACCGCACCAGGGATGAAAACATGTATTTCTCCTTCTGGTTCCTTCCCTGGATCTCATCACCTGGCTGGGGAACTCTCATCACCACTGGCTGCGGAGAGCCCTGAAAAACTTGGAGAAATGATCGGGGGGGAGAAGCTGCAGACATTTGGGGATAAAAGCCACAAACCCCATAAAATCAAGTTTCATTTTCTCGCACAGTTAATTAAGGCAGCCTGAAAAACACGGCTTGTATCCTCCACCTTTTTTTAACAACAATGTTTTTAACTTAGAGAGAACTTACTCTTGGTGGGTGATATTGCATCTCTATGGGACAACCTTTTCCCCTCCAGAGGCTGAAATGCTTGAAATAAACCCTGATATCCCCTCTCAGGCTGCCCTCTGAGGTGTGAGATGTAGGTAAGAGCTGATTACTTACCCTGCACACTCAGTACCACCACCAGGACCAGCAGGATTAAATGCCCCAGCCCTCCGGCTTTGAGGAGGAGCCTGTGCCACCACGGACAGGAGTCAGGAGCTGAAAGAGACCATATTTGCTTAAAAAAAATGAAACATGAAAAAGCTGGGCTTTTAGAGGAAAAAGAAAAAGCCCCTGTGTCAAGCTGGTGACTTGGAGCAGAAGTTTACGGCTTCTTTGCTTCCTCTAAAAAAGTAAATCACCACTGATGAGGTCTAGTATGAGGGCATCACCCCCGGGTGGGTTCTCAGGTGGTAGAGGGGCTGCAGGAGCCTCAGGAGCAGCTTTGGGCACCCAGTGATGGACCTCGGGGGACCCGAAATCTTCTGAAATGGGATTAATTTTAGAGCTCCCAGCAGAGTTGGGAGTCAGTGAGACATAGGTCTCCCCAGCTCTCATCTCCACCAGGATTCCAGACAGGATCTCAGCAGCTTTCCTTCCCATTCAGGTGTGTTGGCTCATGTAGGGCTTCTTGGACCCATTTGCCTATAAAGTAAAGAGTCTCAGAAGCAAAACTGTTCTAATTCCAGATGTTTGTCAGCCTCCTCCATCCCCTTCTTGCTCTTTTTCCTCCTCTTTTCAAGCCAGGATCCCACCTTAGAAGACATTTAGCCCATCCAATGTTCTCCGCAATCTTGGAAACCTCAACATGGGGATAGAGAAGCAAGCAAACTCAAGAGCAAACAAAAGTCTTCCCGAAGCTTGAAATAACCATGCTTTCCCAAAACAGGACTTACCATGACATTTCTCAGCAGGAGAAGAACCATCTCCAAGATGCCTTAAATCAGCATAAACAATTTCCCCAGCCATGGCCACTCAGAAGGTTACAGGACCAGCCCAAAAGTGACAGTGTCCTTGGACAACCTTTTGCCTTGTGAGCTATGTACTTATGCCTTCAGCCAGCTCCAGGAAATGGGATTGACCAGGGCTTTTATCTGCTTTTTTTTTTCCTTTTTAATATATATATTCTATAGCCTTCCCTTGTAAATGAAAGGCGGTGAGGGCACAGGTGTCCTCTAGCCAGGAGGAGATGGCACATCTGGAGTAGGTGGCATGCCTGGAGGTGTAGAAACACCTACGGGTTTGATGGTTGTGTAAAACATCTGTGAAAGCATGCAGAAATTAATAAAAAATAATTTAAGAAGGCCTTTAAATAAGGTTTTTCAGGGTAAGGCTGAAGCGTGTCAGGGTCTGTATCAGCGTGGCCACAGGCAGGTAACTAAATGAGGAGGCAGGTGGCATTTGGTGTTTCTTCTCCAAAATATGGGCTGGGAGTGACTTGGGATGCTTTTTGCTCTGTGCGACTTTTTCTGCTGTTTTTGACACAATATTTGGCCTATGTTTGATCCTGTGTCAGGGAGATCCAATGTGGTCAGGGGTTGCCCAGCTCCTATTCTCACCAGGAGGAGGTGAGAGTCTGGATTTCCTGCAGGCTGCTACTGAATTTTATTATTTTATTTTATTGCTTTATTTTGTTTTGATTTTGAGTTTTCTCCTGCAAGCCCATCCCTTTCACTCCCAGTGTGTCCTTTTACATCACCCAGACCCATGCTTCCTCCTACATTTGGGACACCTTGGCCACTGCATGGAATGACCACTAATTCCCAGCCTATGCTGACCTTTTTCCCTCCCTTTCTTCAATTTTTTTTTGGTGTTAACTCAGGTTTTGGCCCCTGCTGTAACACCTGCAAGCAACACCTTTTTGTAGAGTTAAAACCAATGTTTTTTTCCTCAGACACCCAGAAAACAGCAAGAAAAAAAGTAGAAATTTGCCCCAATACCTGCCAGCAGCAAGAAATGGGGTAAAAAAAAAGATAAACCCAAAGGTCCAAAGGTCCCAGAAGGAAAAGCATTGCATTCTTTTATTTTTTAATTTTTTTATTTTTTTTTAATTTTTATTTTGGGTTTATTCTTATTTTTTAAAAAAAATTCTATTTTTATTATCTCATGTTTATTTTTATTTTATTTTCCACCCGCAGCGTCTGTTACCCTCACAGAAAGTTTTTGTGGTCAGCTGCTGTCAGTCAGCTTTCCTGCCCTCTGCAAAAGCAGCCCCTGCAGTGGTGTGTGATCACTGATTCCAAAAAACCCCTCAAAAATGTAAAATAAAGTAGGACTTAGGGTAAAATCCTGCAATTGGGTAGCTTAATTGCAAGAACACTTATTTTTTACATTTCTATATTTAAAAAATGGTAAAATCGGCTGAAGGGAACTGCACTTCATCCCTGAAGTCCCTTTTGGGGTGCCTCAACATCCCAGCACAGAGCGATCCCCAGCAGCATTTCCTCCTCCTGCACACCAAAAAAAGCATTTTTGCATAATCTGTCTTCCCCAGCTGAGAAAAAAAGCTGTAAATGCAGGAAAAGGTGTTGAAGGGGGTGCAGGGTGGAGCTGAAGGGGAACCCCTGGTTCGGTGGGCAGGCAGGCAGGTGGCCCTCGGGCAGGCAGCCCCATAACCCTGTAGGACGTGCAGGAAAATCCCTGGGAAAAAAACTACAAAATAAACCAAAATAACTTTTTTTTTTCATACTGTGTTTCTGTTTTTCTTCACAGAGAAGGTTATGCCTCAGCATCTGGCTTGTTCCCACCGGGTGAGGGGGCTTGGGATGGGCTGGGGGACTAAGGGGAGGTGGTCTTAAGTGTGGAAGAGAATTTCAATTGCTGGGAGAAGTTTTAATTGCTGGAGAAAATTTTAATTGGGGGAGAAAATTTTAATTGGGGGAAGAAGAAAACTTTAATTATGGGGAGAAATTTTAACTGTGAGCAGAAATTTTCAATTGAGAGGATTTTAATAGGGAGAGATTGTTTTAATTGGGAGGAGGAAACTTTAATTTGAGGGAGAAAACTTTAATTTTGGACAGAAAATATTAACTGAGTGGAGAAGATATTATCTGGGAGAGAAAACTATTGGGGAGAAAGGTTTGCAGGGAGGAAATTTTAATTATGGGCAGAAAATTTTAATTGAAGATATTTTAATAGGGAAAGAAGATTTTAATTGAGGGAGAAAACTTTAATTGGGGGTGAAAGTTTGATTGTGGGAGAAAACTTTAATTGCAGGGAGAAAAATTTAATTGAAGGGAGAAACGTATAATTAGGGGGAGAAAACTAACTGAGGGGAGAAAACATTAATTTGGGGAAGAAAACTTTAATGGAGGGAAGTTTGATTGGGCGCGAAAATTTTAATTGCAGGGAGTAGATTTTAATTGTGGGAGAAAACTTCAACTGGGGAGAAAAGTTTCATTCCAGGGAGAAAATTTTAAATATGGGGAGAAAACTTAGAGTGCTGACAGCCTTTGTGGCACCTCTGACAGATGGAACTTTGCTTGGCAGGTGAGGCAGGAGCAGCTGTTTACGTGGAACCCCAAAAATGGAGGAAATGAGAGATTATTCCAGATTTTTGGGCATGGAAAGGAGCAAGAGAGCAGGTAACTGTAGGGCAGTGAACTGAAGAATTGCTGGGTTTGTTTTTCTTTTTAATATTTCTGTAATTTGAGAACAAAATCCAGCTGAAGTAAGGTTGTACGGAGGCGAGGGGAAAGCTTTTTCTAGCACTTCCCTTGAGGGAAAATTTTTGTCACTCAGCAGATGGAACTTTTGCTCTAAACAGCCCCATTTCAAATACTGTGAGTTATTGTCATTTAGGATTAACCCTTCCTGAGGCACTCAAGTAACTGATTCTTTTGGGTATATTTTTTTTCACAAATATTCCAATTTTCTGATTTATTTTGGATGAGAATAAAGAAATTTTTGAAGAGTTGAACTGTTAAAAGGCCCCAAAAAGAAGTTTGGTCTTTAAATGCAACTTGGACACATCAGCAAAATATTTATTAACTACTTTTTTCCCTTCAACACTGCCCTGTTTCAGGTCTCCTTAATTTGCTTCCATCTTTATCATCCTCTTGGTCCACAATAAGGTAAAGTGGCTTTGGGAGTCTTTTCCATCATCTCAATCTATTCAACCAGGGACTAAGATTTTTGGGGAATTTTTTTTTGATTTAGCAAATTTGTTGATTTTTCCAATTTGCTAATTTTTTTATTTGTTGATATTTATTTTTTATATATATATGTGGGGTTTTTTTTAAATTTGCTGGTATATTTGGGTTCTGACTTACTTTCTAATAACATTTTTCCAAGAGGAAGAGGGAACAGGAGGGTTTGTCCCATGAGATCTGGTTCATGTGATAGATGGAGACAAAAAGGGAAAAGCTGAAACAAAAAATGGGGGTAGTCCCACCAGGTGAAACCACTAATATTTTTAGGTAAAACTGCTAGGAAACAGAATTTTCTTTGCTCATAATGAAGAGAAAGAGCATATTCTTGATCATAGGACCCAGAGATGGAGGCACCATGACTTGGATAATTTTCAAGACCCAAAGTGTCTCAGTTTAGGTGGAGAAAAAAACTCCACTGAACTTTAATAATGAGGTAGAACCCAGAAATTAAGGCATGATTTTAATTATAGTGCATTTCAGGAGTTTCAAGCTGGAGCTGTGGAGGAGATTCCCCATAGAGTTTCCATAAATAATAAAAAAAAAAATTTTGGAGAAGAATTTTTTTATATTTCTCACTCAAAATGATACCAAGTCCCCCTGGCATGGGGAAGAGACCAACCTGTCATCATCTGGGCATGACCTGGAGCATGTTGCTCCCCTGGAAACTCTCAGAGAGGCACTGAAGGTCTGTTCTCCTGCAGGTCACAGCCTGGACATGAAGCCGGAGGCACGTGTCGCCTGCCAGGTGATGCTGGCAGCACTCTTCATGACTCTGCTCGTCACAGCCATCACTTTTGCAGGTTGGTTTTAGGTCTCACGAGGAATGTCTCTGAGATATTTTGGGTTGTTACACATGTTGCACAGATCTACCTCCACTTCTTCTGTGGAAGACAGAGCCCACCAAACCTGCTGTCCTCTTCAGGAGAGGGACATTTCAAAGCAGCCTTTCTACAGAAGACCAAACTCATCCCCTTGGTGCAGGAGCTGATGTCATCCAGAAATCCTTAGAAAATCAACAGGAAGAGCCATTTCATACATACAGCCACCCAAAAGTATTGTTTTCAGAGAATAATGGACCTAGAGACGTTGGCATGAGTCCCAACAAGCTAAGAAGTCCCCAGGAATAGGAGAATTTATTTTCTGTCATTTTCACTACTTTTGCATTAATGATAGAGAGAAACACCCAAGGGCATATTAGGGATAGGATTATTTTGAAATTCCTTTTAAAACTGTGGTTTTCTGAAGGCTACCACCCTGTTTCTTTCTTTGAAGGTACGGCAACCATGTTTCTTGGTCAACACCACAAGCTGGGCCATGATTTGAGCTTATTTTCTCCCACGATTTCTCTTGGTGTCTTAATTTTTCTTTTTACTCACAGTTGAGGCAGATGCAAGACCTTCAGAGACCACAGGGTGGAGGATGACCTCCCTACTTGAGAGACGTAAGGGAAAGGTGCTGCTCCTTAACACTGTTCTATTTTTAATGACAGTGCAGGCTTTTCAGCCTCATCCCCAGCCCTACTTTCAGTGCCCCTTCGACTGGATCAGATATAGAGGAAAATGCTACTATTTTTCGGAGGCTGAGGGGAACTGGACATCCAGCCAGGACAACTGCTCAGCATTTGGTGCTTCCTTGGCCATCCTGGACAGCATGGAAGACTTGGTAAGGAGACAAGAGGACATGCTTAGCACGGGAAAAAAACCCCAAACCAACATATTTGACACCTCATGGTTTCTTTGATTGGTCTTCCTTGGAGATCTGGGGCAGGAACTTGGGGAAGAGGGTTTTCTTGAGGCTTGGTCATCACAGGTCTCTTGAAATTCCTCACCAAAGCCAACTGCTGCAAGAACTGTAGCTAGGTGACACATCTTGTTAGCAGATGGAAAGGTTCAAGCCCCAAAGAAGCCCTAAAGGAGCACAAGCAACTGGTAAAATGGAGATTTTTCATTAGAAGGAGGTAAAAACCTTTTTCCTTCTTTTTTAGAGCTTTGTGATGAGATATAAAGGCATCTCAGAGCATTGGATTGGCCTTTTGCGGAAAGATGAGGAGCAGCCATGGCAATGGGTGAACCACTCACTTTTATCGCACTTGTGAGTCTGTGTTTTTCATCGTTACGTTGTTGGTTGGTGTTTCCCCAGACAAGAAATGTGCATTTCTTCTGGCACTTGAGGTGCATCCAGAGGCAGTAATGGGACAGTGATGTTTGGGAAGAGCAACACTGCATCTTGATTATCTCCTTGACCTAAGATATGGGAGTGGTGTGTTTGGAGAAAATACTGAGATTAGATGTTTTATTGTAAGTTCCTTTTTTCTTGCAAAGCTTTGGATTTCTTATTAGAAATAGAAATAAATCAGCATTAGTGTTGGCATATTGATGCTGAATAATTTCTACTCCTATATAAGAAATGTATATTGATATTTTGGCATGTTGATGCCCACAAGGATGCCCGAGAACTGAAATGGGGGGAAGCCTATATGTGACTTTTCTCCTTTTTCCTGCTGAGCCTGTCTGAGGGGGATTTTCTCCTCTGTCCTTCCAGGTTTCAAATCCGTGGTGGTGGGCTCTGCGCTTATTTGGATGACAACGGGCTCAGCTCCTCCTACTGCAGCACTGAGAGGAGCTGGATTTGTAATAAACCTGAGCTGCAGAGCTCAGGCAAGGGCAATGGGATGAGACGGGCTAAAAACCTCTGTGTCAGCTCCTTGGGTGCTGAAGGGAGGGCTTCTCACACCCAGATACCTGCTGCACCAAACCTCAAAAAGGCTTTGAATCCCCTGCATGAGGGGTTCTTGAGGGTACCAGGGGACCAACAAGGTGTTGATGGGCAAGGGCAACCTTTGGAGACCCATGTAGGGCAGTCCTAGGGGATCCTGGGGGCTAGGGCAGCCTTGGGGGGCCTTTTTAGGTCTAGGGCAACTTGGTGAGAGGTCAAATGCAGACGCCTCCTGCTTCTTAGAAAAAAAAATTTATTCTGAGCACATTTATATAAATTGCACGTTAATTACTTGGAAATACATCCTGAGCATGGAGAGGGAAAGAGTGGGGGAAGTGAGTGTGAGCATATCCTTGTGATGACAAAATCAGTTTTAAAATGAGGCAGCAGCTGGCATTAATGCAAAGCCTGCAAAATTTAAGATTTTTAATCTGGGTTGGAAGCCTGGCCAGTGATGGGCATTGGGGTCAGCAAAGGAATTATCAGAGAAGGACATCTGGGAGAAAAAGTCAAGTTTTCAGGTCAAAACTAGTTCAGTGAAGCCCTGCTTCTGTTAACAAGCTCTGGATAAATTTAATGACAGTGGCTTTGAGATGAGATGAGATGAGCTGTGCTGAGCTCAGACTCAAAATCCCCTGGACATAACCCAAAATAAAGACATCTGTGATGAAGGTAGGACCATGAGTTGAGCTGGAAAGGACTCCAAGACCTGGAAGAGAAGACTGGAGGAGCACCAAGGAGCATTCCAAACACCATGGTGCAACCAGCTGTGGAAGGATCCTGTCAGCACATCAGCCCTTGGGGGACAGTTTGATGGTTGAGAGGAGCACACAGAAGTAGGGGAAGACCTTCTCCCCACTGAAGGAAGCTACAGGGAAGGTGAAGATGCACTGGCGGCTGCCAACAGCATAGAAGGAGACCTGTCCCACCTCGTAGTCCAGGTAGACCCCAATGTCCCCATTGAGGAGCGGGATGAAGGTGTTGGATGGAGCTGTGAGGGCAACACAGAGCTCATCATACTTCTGCAAGCCCCAAATCTCAGCGCTGGGCTTGAAGAGGACCCGGCCTTTCCTCTGAACTGACTCACGGGCCACTCCCACGGCCCAGAAGCGCCCATTGGCCTCCACCTCCCAGTAGTGACGGCCTGAGGTGAAGCCCTCGCTGCCCAGCATGCACGGATCTGTGTCGAACCGGCCGGGACCCTCAGGCCACTGGTGTTGAGGTCTGCCCCAAGTGGCCTCTTTGAGGTCCTCGGAGAGGATCACCTCAGGACCCACTGTGGCGGGATCCAGGGTCACATCCACTGAAAAGCAAGACAGAGAAGGGGTCAGAAACCACATTCAAGTGTAGAGGAGACACCCAAAAACCCTGATTCAAAAGTCACTGTCGACTTTTCAAGGAGAAAGAGAGAGGAGGGGTGAGGTTGGAGATGGAAGAGTGAAGAGGAGGAGGTTGGAAATGGAGGATATCCACCTCAGGTTGGAGATAGAGAAGTCAAGAAAAGGAGACTCTCCAGTTGAGGCTGTAGAAGGAAGAGACAAAATATGGATACTGGAGATGGAGGATCTCTGGGCCAGGTTGGAGATGGACAAGTCAAGACATGGAGGTTGGAGATGGAGGACCCAGGGATACAGAAGGTAGAGCTGGAGAATCTCCAACTCATTAGACATATCATTTGATACAGCCCAGAAAACACCAGGAATTAGTACTTTGCTCCTGCTTTGATTACCTTCAAACTGTTTGGCAGTGTAGTAGTCCAGGGCAAGGTCCCACGTGCATGGCCGTGGTTTGAGGAAGAAAGCCATTGTGCCTGCAGTGTCCTCCCCTCCTGGCTGAAGGCAAGAGAAAAGGAAAGAAAGAAAGAAAGAAAAAAAAGAAAGAAAAGAAAGAAAAAGAAAGAAAAAGAAAAAGAAAG